AGGTTGTATCACTAATATCAACAAATTCTGGGAACTTCTACTGTGTACTTGGCCTCTTAGAATCTAGAAAAGCCAAACGTACAGGTAGCCTACTTTTATTTTAGTGATAAAGGCTTTCTAATCCTAAAGTACTACTGAAGAATACTGCGCTTTCTGTCCATGTGTTGTGATTGCAAGTATTGGACTTTTGTTTGCATTTCTCACTATCACAGATTCAAGCAGCATTCCATGACTGACTGCTCAGCCAGGGCTCCTCCTTGCTCCATTTTTTTGAAAATACTCCTTGATCTCAGAATATAACTTCCATGAATTATACAGGACTTTTTCTCTACTACTTACCCTCAGATGCAGCTGTAACAACAGCATAGGTTTTATGAGCAAATAAACAAAATGTTTGCATTTTCTTAGAAGCACTTTCTCAAAAAGAGAAGTTGCTGAAGTTGGTAAACTGAACCTCAGATATGAGAATATATTTAGCCTCCCTGAAACCAAGTTCAACTGAGAATGTATCAGGGATAGATACATTTTTGCACTCATTCACAGAGGGATTTTAAATGTCTTCACGCCTCACGCCACACATGAACATATGGACCAGCCATTTTATTCTGTCTGTCAAATTCCGCCAATGTGAACAGAATCAGTAACACATGGTAAAGCATATGACCTATGTGAAGTTTCGTATTAGTAAAATACAATTCTAGACTTAGCTCTCACCCTATCAGCATATATATCTGCATCTCAAACCATAGATAGAATTGTATATTTTCACAGTTAAAAAGTACCTTAAAGACCATCTGTTCTACCCACTTATTGTAAGAGGTGTAAACTGAATCCTAGAGAGACAAAATGGCTTGCCCAACATCTGGTAAATAATAAAGCTACTAAATTGTAAAAAAAAAAAAAAAAAGAAGAAAAATAAAACTATCTTTAAATTATAGTTTAAAGATATCACCATATATTGATGATATATATGCAGTCAGTTTTGTATAGCTGGAGATAGTCACTTTTCCATAATCAATGTATTTAATTACTTCCTAATCACTAGTATGACCAATATGAGGTTTATCTGCTATTTATTGTTGTGTTATGTTCTTGGTTTGGGTTCTTCCAAAAGCAGAGAAAGAAAAGGACTCTGGAGCAGTTAGGTTGTCTGAGAAGTAATTCCAGGCAGCAGTACTAAAAAGAAAAATAGCAGCAACAACAAAAATAAAAGTGTAACTTGGACTCACTCCTGTTAAGGATCGTTAAAGAATTACAAAACACATGCATAAGAATTGACTACCCAAATGACAGTAGACGCAGTCAATTCTCTACCAATTCTTATATGTCGTTTTTGAGGATTCCCCCCACCCCCAGGAGAGGGTTTATGGCTCATAGTTTCCCATGCTAGTGATTTCAGAGAAAAACGAGGAAGAAGAAAAAAATATACAAAAATACAAAATTTTACCACAGCTGCAGAAATGAAATTGTACAAAAGTACAAAATTTTACCACAGCTGAAATCAAAAATGGATTGAGATGTTGTTGGATTGAGAACATATGATATAGAGTTCTACACACACCAAACAATCTTAATGTGTTACTTAAATCTAATTTTAAAAACATATATGAATTACATTTTACATAGCTTTTTCACTGAGTAGGATGGAAGTGACTCCAGCGTGATTGGGTAGAATGAAATACTCATTTGTGAGATATGTATTTATTTATGTATCAGTCATGTTCCAGATGCTGGGACTACAGCAGTGAACTAAAATGACAGAAATACTTGCTCTAGTAAAGCTGACAATCTTCTGGGGAAAGACACTGTGTATAATAACAAACCATGGAAGAACACTATTATTGAGACATTGATAAGAATTCTGAAGAAAAATTAAGCACAGAAGGGGTAGATATTAGTGAAAGGGAAAATGTTATTTTAATGTATTTACCATGGTCAGGAAAAGCTTCGTCATGTAGGTGAAATTTGAGCACAATCCTAAAGAAGGTTGGAAAGCAAATCATGTGGAAATTTAAGACATGAACATTCTTTCAAAAAAAAAGGGGGGGGGGAATCAGTGCAAAGGGCCTAAATTTTAAGTGGCCATAACATCATTTCTAATACCATAGGAAAAGCAAATGTTTGTAATAAAGATTTCAAACTTTAATCAGGGACCACATGGACTCTGCCGACCGATTTGGCTTGCTTTGTAGAGATCTTTTAACCTTACAAATGACTTGAATTGTATTTATTAATATTATGGAAACTTTGAAAAGAAGATTGTGCATAAAAACTTCAAAACACTGGGGAACCTGTCAGAATTAGAGTGGGATGTTGGTTGATATCTTAATATAACATATGGTATCCAGTTTTCCACAGCCAGTGACATTTTCTATTGAGTGGTATAGTTTTAGTCTTTTAAGAACATGCATTTGCTAGCTTCCTTACTCTTTTTCAGTAGCAGGATATTGTGTTGCTGGGTTTAAAATATATAAAGAAGATATGAATTGTCATTATTTTAGTGACTGACTTTATATATAGACTGTTGACACTCTAGTCTTTTTTAAATAAAATATCATTGTAGACTGAATCTAATACTTGGTAAAAGAGAGTAACATTTGCATCAGAAATTATAAATCAATGCTCTCAAATAATTATTCTTCAAGGAATACCTTCTAAAATGTATTCCTTGAAGGATTAGCCTATTTATATATGCGAGTCTTCTATCTTCTTTGGAGAAAACAATCAATAAAAGGTATATTTGACATTACTGATTACCGTAAACTTAATAAACCTAAATACTTTTCTTGCCAAACTCATCAAGGAAGTATATAAAATTATGGATGTTGTACACATGGAAAAGAATGAACAGTTAGAGAAATCTGTTCACAATTCAGCTTGTCAATTAATGAAATAAGACAAATATCAAGAAAAACAAAACGTTAATTAAAAGTTGACTTTACCTTACACTGAAAGAGACACGTGATATGAGAATTTTAATGCCCTGTAATGTGTAAAACAGTTCACAAAAAAGCTTTGCAAAAGCAATCGATACACTGATTCTTTACAAGTAGGTAAGTGACTGAAAAAGGATACAGGTACACATTCTTACGTGACAATTCTAAATTGGTCAAGACATAACTGAAGAGATTAACAGTGTCCTTGATTTTTAATCGTTCAGTTTCCTAATATTTCCTCAAGCAAATTAGGTTAAATAAGCACACTGTTGTAGGCAAATGCTAAGATGTTGATTCACACTTCACAATTTAAACCAGAGTGATTATGAAAAGTTAGAGGGTTTCAGCTGAGTCCTGGTTTGGGGGAATGGTGTCAGATGCCACAGAAAAGCAACAAATGTTTACAGTTTAGGACAGACTGTTGGGGTGGGGGGACATTGGGTTCTGAACAGATGAGACAAATTCTATCTCTAAAAAATGCTAAAATGTTCACAAGGACAAAACAGAATGTTGTGTATTCAACGGAGTCAAGAAGTTTAGAATTTGTAGGTTGAATATTAAAAAATTTATAGGAAATGATGACGTGAATTTAGAAAAACAGGAAAAATGAAACCAAGAAGGCAACAATGACCAAGTCAAATTGACAAGATGGCTTGAAGAATGAGTATCATGGACAAGAGCACAGCGAGCCTGAATTTCAGTTATCTCTCTCCTACCTAAAGAAACTTGAGCAAATTTCTTAACCTCTTGATGTTTTACTAGTAGTATTAGTTCTCCGGGTCATACGCCAGTAAAATTAGTTTGCTTTCCAAGTGATTATCACAGTATCTAACATGGAGTCTCAGATCCACACATATTTGTACCACCATCACTGATTTTCATTATCATTATTATTATTGTACCAGGGATCACACTTGCCAGGCAGGCACTCATGCCACTGAGCTATATCCCTGCCCCCCATCATTGATTTTAAAATAATCACAAATGTCTTCCATAGAAAGCTGTGAATAGCTCCAAAACTAATATAATAGAGCTCTGACAGAGTATGAACTGTATTTATCTTGCTTATCATTTTATTCTCAAGTCCTGCCACATGCTGCCCCATTACATGGTACTCAGTGAAATTTAAATAAATGTATGAAGTAAGGTAATGAGACCAAATGTCATTTTCATTCTTTATTGCAAAAAGATAAACACATTGAGGTGTCTCCTGGACCTGACACTGAATAACAAAATAGATCAATTATAATCAATTTATAAAGGCTTTGAAAAATGCATACTGGGCCACAGATATAGCACAGTGGCATACATGCCTGCTCGGAAAGTATAAGTTTCTGAGTTTGACTCCTGGAATCAGAAAAAAAAAATGCATACTATCTCATCCTGTTAAGCAATTCCTAGTGCAAAGTGGACTTACAATATATTAACACTTGAATTATTCTCTGGATCATGGCTAGGCTCACGTCATCCAGAGAAATAAAAAAGCAATGAAATGAAAATGTTAAAGCTCTTTTTTTAGTAGTTAAAGCCCTCCTTTTTTTCCCCATGAGTATATGTTAAAAATCTCCTGTCTTTTGCTTTCTACCTCCTACATAATTTTAGATGCACTGAAATGGAAAAGAGAGAGAAAGAGACAGTATAAAAAGATGGAATAATATCTACAAAGACATTGAAACAGAGCAACCCAGACAAACTACCATCCACAGACATCAATGCAGGTAATACTCCAGATTGTATTATTGGTTTTATTGCCCAATATCTCTGTGCAACTGAGCACTGTGATGAGCAAAAATAACAACTTTCACATTAAATGATGGCTCAAATGACTCTAAAAGGACCAGACAGACAGGTGAAACATCAGTGTCTATCTCTGGATACAACACCATGAAAAGAGCCCCTGAAAGACCATCAGGAAGGTGTATTCAACAATGTCAACAAATGCTAGTCTAAGTAATCTGCACTCTTACGATTTTATTGTTGCCATCTAAAGTGAAGGCCCCTTTTGAATTAGTGTGAAATGCAGTGGTATTTTTTTAAATCAAAAGTTTTGAAATGACACTCTACCTGCAAGGCACAACATGAATGATTGCAGTACCAGCAGTTCCCATGGCAACCTCATCTTCAGTATCCGAGGTCAAAAGAGTTTCAAGTCCAATAACAAGTGAATAGAATTGTTGCTTCTTTTAAGTTTTGTACAACCTTTAATCTGTGGAAAAGAAGAGACATTAAAATGAGATTTGGGAATTTTTTGTGGTCTCTCCAAATTTGTCTTCACTCGAATGTAAATAAAATTCACTCATACAAAAGTATTACTGAAGAAAAAAGGAACTTGTTAAATTATGAATATTAAGCAAATAATATTGGGGTAGAGATTGGAGCTCTTGTGCCCCCCCATGGCTTCTGAGTGAAGACAAAAATTGCTTCTCAGTAGGCATGAACCAACCTGAAGGCAGGCGAATTAAGTGTTTTTTTTTTTAACAAGGTTTTTCCCTGTTTCTTAGTTCCCAGTCCTTGTTATTTTTAATAATCCAATTAATAATAAATCTAAAACACCAATATAGGGAAATTGCCACAAAACAAAATAAATAGGTAGGTTTAACTTTGGTGTAATATAAGATGAAATCCTCAATATTTAGAATGGAAAATGTGCAAGAAAACTGTGACTGCTGCCTCAATTCAAATTGATTTCTCCCATGCTGCACATTTCATTCTTTAAATATATTATGGTTTAGAATATGACTTGAGCATTTCTTTAAAATTTCCTGTGCTGATAGTGTGGTCTGCACTGTGGTATAGTGGGAGGTAGAAGAATCTTTAAGAGCTGGAGTGTACTGGAAGGCGGACCTGTCAGTGAAAGAGCTGCCCTTTGAAGGGGTTAAGGTAGCGCTCATGTGACTCATGAGTTGTTACAAAAGCAAGATGTTACAAAAAGAAATAAAATAAAATAGGACCCAGCCCTGAATTGTTCTTTGGCTCCTGTCTGGTAATGTGAATTCTTTCACATGCACAGCCTGTTTGGAGCCTATGCATTGCTGTTGAGATTCTCAGCCTCCCAAACTTTAGGATAAATACATCTTTTTTCCTTTACAAGCAGCCTGTCTCTGCTATTTTGTTACAACAAAGAAAAATGAGATAACATAAAATTCAGTAGAGATATACAACTCTAGAACTTACTGAAATTCTACCTCCTGAGAGAGAACTGTCTACCACGTTCATATGGAAAGATCCACAGTATAGTTAAGACGACTAATCCTCCCTTTAGCTAGGAATTTTAACACAGAAAAATTATGTGGTAATGAAAAGTAATTTGTTCCACGTACAAAAAGCTAGAAAGTATATGACCAAAAGAATGAAACAGGTAGGCAGAGGCTGGCACTTCTTTGCACACAAGTACAAAGAAGACATGACATGTTCCTCAACTCAAGGAGCAAGGTGGACCATATGTCATGGTTACAGGACATATATATCTGGTGCTTATGGGTTGCAATAGGACCTCAGCAAAACAGAGGTTTCATTGTGCTTTGTCCCTTCCGCCATGCTTCTCCCAGGAAGCCTGCAGCCAGCCATGCACGGACACACAAATACAGCTCCATGCGTGGAGCAGCCACAGGAATAAGAAGCTTTCTCTGTCTTCCACATCTTATGCTGCACTGAGGACAATTACAATAATGTCACATAATGGTTATGTAATATGACATTATCATGGAAAGAAGAGACTGTCTGGCTTGAGAGTCTTCATCAAGGAGACGAGCCCTTTTTAGGGTTTAAAAAATGAGCTTATTCATCAGTTCATCAAATATGCAAACAATCTAGGGAGACTTAAGACTGGTATTTCCTTTATAGCTCTGACAATAACTAGCCACGTGGTCCTAGGCATAACACCCTACTCTGCCTGCCCTCTTAAGGATGAGTCAAGCAAAATATCCTGGGCAAGTAAATTAAACCTCTGAAAACTACCCAGCATCATATGCTTCCAGATTTTGCTTTGTCATGGCAATCTCAACACTTATTATCTATTACATAAAATAATTCATATTAGTTTTCTGATTGATAAAAAGTGTGTATACATGTGTAACATGATTTTAAATACATATGTACAATGAGGGACCCAACCTTTTTAAACCGCTAAAAACCTGAGGTTTCTCACTTCACTCTCACTTAGGAGAAAAATACTGTGGGTAAACACAAGCTTTCTTGAGAACATGTACCAACACAAGCTAGTTAATCAAGAACTGTTAGAGTTAATTTATATCACATGGTCACTGAAAAACCTTTATGTTTACCAGGAAGCCAACAGAAAGTGAAATGGCTTCATTTGAGAACTTCCTTTCTTTTGTGCCCTAAATAGCTCAGCTTCTGATAAAGCTAGACTTAATATGTTATGAAGACAAAAGGGACCCTTAACCTATGATCTGCTGATGGGGTTGAAAGCAGGGGGCATCTCTAATTGGGTATGTTCTGATAGTCTTCTGACATGCATGGTGATTAGGCCATTTTATATAAACAGGATGTGCTGATCAATGAAAACTATTAATGTCTTAAGCAAATGATCAGGGTATTAATAATTAATTTTGCTAGGGAAATGTCATCTCCGATCTCAGGATTGATTTACCATGTTAAGCAGTTTCTCAAAGCAATTAAAATTCGCTTAGGAAATGTATCCAATTACACAATAAAGATTTAATTCATGATATGATACTATTTACAGGGCAGATTCTGCAAAGAGCTGTAGGTTTTTAGGATGGAGAAATATAAAGGCTTCATGGACATTTATTTATATTCAGGTACATAAAGTTCACTCTCACTAATGAGAAATAATGGGGTCACTGACAGGAATTTGTCTAGTGGGCAGGAGTAACAGAAACACTAGACTTTCTGAAGGAAGCTGAAGATTCATGAATCTCATGTGGAATTGTGTGCAAGATACAAAGTTTCATATTTTCAGTTTTCCTGCCAGATCTTGAAAAAAAAGTACAGGATAAGCCAAGAGTTATGGTGGTAATAGATCTCCCTCGCAGCTTGGAGCCCTCTCTGGTTTATTGGAAGGTGGCTATAGCAGAGGTAGTAAACTCAGCACTAACTCTGAGATCTTGCCCAAGACAGTGACTCATAAATTCTGGAGAAGAAGCCACAGAATCAAACAGAACTTGGTTTCTTTCTCTGACTGGGCTGCTTTTGTCTGAGCTAGAAGGAAATGAATAACTGAGAATTACTCATTGTTTTTTTAAATATTCCTATACATAGCAAAACATCCCACATCCCTTCATACAATGCAGATACCAAAGTAATACTGAAGACCTCTGCATAACAGACTAAAAACAAAAGCATGGTTTAGTTTTTTCTTAAGAGTTATGCTTTCCATTTGGGTATGCTGGCACATGCCTGTAATCCCAGGATTCTGGGAGACTGATGCAGGAGGATCACAGATTCAAACCCATCCTTATAATTTAGTGATTTGGCAAGTAAATAAACAAACAAACAAATAAAACGAACAAAAACTTAAATAGGGTTGAAGGTATAGCTCACTGTGAAGGCTCTAGATTCAATCCCTTTACTACAAACAAATAAACACACAAAACAAAAGAAAACATCCCCACAAATAAATGAAAAAACAAAATCTCAGCTCATTTCCAGGAATCCACATGAAGGGCTTGATCATCCATGTAATTTCTTTTGGCACTTTGCTTAAAAATTCTACTACTATCCACATGTAAATTCAACTCAATAGAGAGGGTGTTTGTCATATAGGAGGTGCCGTGTGTGTATGAGTAAGAGAAGCACAGGCCTTGTCTTCAGCGAGCTCGCACTTTATTTGGTGAAAGAAAAACATATGCTGGGCATATGGTGGCTCACGCCTTTAATCTCAGCACTCGGGAGGCTGAGGCAGCAGGACTGTTGTGAGTTCCAGACCAGCCTGGTCTACAAAGTGAACTAAGGCCTGCCTGAATTGCATAGAGAGACCCTGTCTCAAAAAGACAAAAAAATCTGTAATTAAAATTCAGTGTGAAGTGTGTAATAAGTCTATTAAGTACAAGGTACTAAGTAAACAAAGGAATATAGTATAACTGAGTTAGGAAGTGGGGCAAGACAGGGGCTTCAAGAAAGCACTCCAAAGGAGCTTCCTGAACTGTCTCGAAGGATAAATCAGAGGGAGATTCTAAGACAGCCACTAAGAAAAAGTAGGCAACTGTCATGGTTTATGTGGGTGCCCTCCAGGCCTCATGCATTTGTGACTCGTTCATTGTCTAGTGCTTGGATTGGGAGTGAGTGCTCCACTGGCCCAGGAGTGGAGCCAGGATGTGATGTAATGGCAGGAAGAAGGTGTGTCTCACTCTATGGCCACTTTCTGCCTTGCTGTTTGCAGCCAAAATGAACTGTGGCCCGCCATGCCACCCTGCCTTGGAGCCAACAGAGTATGGACTGAAACCTCCAAAAACTGTAAGAAATAAACCTTTCCTTTCCCAACTTTGGGCTTCAGGTATTTTGTCTCAGCAATGAGTAAAAAGTAACCAAGACAGCAACAAACTGTGAGATTTACAGCATTTGAGTTATATAGTAATGCAAGAACATGAAAAGCACAGTTGGCTAAATCAGCCTTATGCTCTAATCATGGACCCAGAATATTCCAATAGTGCAGTTCATCTGTAAAAGGACTACATGAATATATACGTCCACACTTCCCTTGTGTATTAGTGATGGTGAGCAGAAGGATCTGAACGTGGGTACTGGCACAAAGCTGGCATTCAGTAACTTCCCTTATTAAACAGAGCACAGCACAGCCTGTGGCTAGGAGTTAGGAAACAGCAGGAAAAATGGCACATGTAAGTCAGAATCCTGGTTTCCAGTCAGCCTTGATTGAGGATCACAGATTTCAGACTTGATTCTGAAGGCCAAGAGAAAAGTGGGAATGACTTTCAGTTGGGAAAAACACTGAAGAAATTTGATTTCCTTCTATGGAGGTCTGCTTCATATGCAACCCCAGACACCACAAAATATCTACTTTTTCCTTTGGTTTTCTCCTTTGGACAAGTTAACTGTGTATTTAATTACTAAGAATGCTTCAATATATAGTGCATTTTTCAAGACCTTGTAGTAGGACTAAGTGGGAAAACACTAGATTTAGAATTAAGCACACTGAAATCTTTCTTTTTAGTTATGGCACAAATTACCTGACTTTGGGAAAGCCACTTAGTAGCTATAAACACG